GGGGGTGTGGAGTGGCAGGGGGGGGGCTTGCAAGTGAGCCAGAAACCGTGGGCTTGACCAGGTCCCACTAAACTCATGTGGCACCTACAGAACGTGGAACTGCAGCGTGTCAGGGAAGGACGAGGTGATGTGGCACTGCCAGGGGGTCAAGTGTGTGTTCCCCCGCATATGAGGGTATCTCTCCTCTCGCAGCAGGTGCTGTTCCAGCCATAACCTCCCCCTCTCTCCACAGTATGCAGTTGACTGCAGTGAGGTCCAGAACTTGCCCACCATCACCTTCGTCATCAACGGAGCTGAGCTCCCACTGCCCCCCTCCGCCTACATCATGAACGTATGTATTAGCTGAGCAGCTTCACCCTGCTGAGTCCTTGAGGGCCAGGAAAGGACCTGGTGCTTCTTGACAAGCAGTGATGCTCTCCGTACCCGTGCGGGCAGATCCCCCATGCCTGCCCAGCTGGCAGCGTCCTGGTGTTTGTTTGAGGCTCTGACTCCCCGTTATTCCCCCCCTTACAGAGCAACGGCTACTGCACTGTCGGGGTTGAGGTCACCTACCTGCCTTCCCAGAACGGGCAGCCGCTCTGGATCTTGGGTGATGTCTTCCTCAAGGAGTATTACACCATCTTTGACATGGGTAACAACCGCATCGGCTTCGCCTCGTCGGCGTAGAGGAGTGAAGCAGCAAAATCCAGCCCTTCTCCTGGCTAAACACACCTCAGCCAGCACTGCTGGAGCACTACAAGGTTCCTACGGACCTTTATGTTCCTTTACGTGCCTGCTTGACTCCCTATTTCCCCCAGGATCTCTGTGTAAGGGCATCCTCACAGTCGCCCGTTACAAATAAACCCCAACATCACAAATTGTCTCTGACCTTCTGAGTTCGTTGAGTGATGACTGAGTGCAGACTGATGGGTTGTGTGCCTCAGACACTCTTTCTCCAGCAAGATAAGCCCCGTGATAAACTCCTAGGCAGATTTCTGCAGAGTCAGCACAGGGAAGGCAGTGGGGAAGCTGTCCCTGGGCTGCTTCAAATCTAAAGTTGATGTATTTATGTTCCTGGCAAAGGGGAATGACATGCTGTCGACTCCTGATGGCTGTGGGACCGAGTCTCAGCCTCTATCTATAGTGAATTGTTGAGTTTGGGGGTGGCTCTGATGAAGGCAGCAGGCTCCGAGCTGCAGCTCAGCTCACAGATGGGTGAAGGGACAGGATCCACCTGTCCTTCTGCATGCTGGTGCCCCGGTTAGCTCCTGCAGAGTTACAGCCTGGCTTCTGAGCCCTTGGCCATGAGGTTGTCCCACAGCCCAGCCCCGTCCCCTCTGCAAGGCTTGTGTGACGGAGTGGGGGGCTGCAGACTTTGTGCACTGGAAAGCAGGCGGCTGCCCTCCCCCAGATCCCAGGGGCTGTCTCAGGGCCTGGCTGCACCCCAGGCTGGATGCCACTGCCCCCCAAAGGTGCTCCATCACTGCCCTCCTCAGCTGGACAGGGGAGAGAAAATACAACAAAAAGCTCATGGGTTGAGATAAGGACAGGGAGAGGTCACTCACCCATTACTGTCACAGGCAAAACAGACTTGACTTGGGGAAATTAGTTTAATTTATTACCAATCAAATGAGAAATAAAAAACCTAAATCTTAAAACACCTTTCTCCCACCTCTCCCTTCTTCCCAGGCTCAATTTTACTCCCAAATTTCTGTTCTTCCTCTCTGTGAGTGGTGCAGGGGGACAAGGAATGGGGGTCGCAGTCAGTTCGTCACCCATTGTCTCTGCCGCTCCTTCCTCCTCAGGGGGAGGACTCCTCACGCTTTGCCCCAGCTCCAGCGTGGGCTCCATCCCGCGGGAGACAGTCCTCCACAAACCTCTCCAACACGAGTCCTTCCCATGATCTCCAGCTCTTCACGAACTGCTCCAGCGTGGGTCCCCCCGGGGGTCACAAGTCCTGCCAGCAAACCCGCTCCAGCGTGGGCTCCTCTCTCCACGGGCCCACAGGTCCTGCCAGGAGCCTGCTCCAGCACGGGCTCCCCACGGGGTCACAGCCTCCTTCGGGCACCCCCTGCTCCGGTGTGGGGTTCTCCCCAGGCTGCTGGTTGGCATCGGCGCCACCATTAACCTCCATGGGTGCAGGCACAGCTGCCTCACCATGGTCTTCCTCACAGGCAACCTCTGCCAGGGCACCTGGAGCACATTCTCCCCCTCCTTCTTCACTCACCTGGGTGTCTGTAGGATTGTTTCTCTCACATAGTCTCTTTCCTCCCTCTTCTTAAATATGTTATCACAGAGGAGCTACCGCTGTCCCTGATACACTCGGCCTTGGCCAGCAGCAGGTCCAGACACGGGCAGCTTCTAGTAGCTTCTCACAGGAGACACCCCTGTAGCCTCCCGCTACCAAAACCTGGCCAGTCAAACCCAAAACACCCACTTCCATCCTCCTTGTTGAGGGACAAGCCCAGCCTGCGTGTCCTGCACCCAGCTCCTGCTTTGCAGGTGAGAAGCACCATGTGCCAGGCTGCGGTGTAGGGCATCGGGACCAAAAGGTCACTGGGCTTGGTCTTAAATCCCAGCCAGAGCCCCGGGGCAGGAGTTCCCTGAGGGATTCCCCAAAAAGCCAGCTCTGCTCTGTGCCATCAGGCACTGGTGGGTGTCTGGAAATGCTGTGCAAGTCCCTAACAGCTTCATCCTCCTGCCGCCGCCGCTGGAGTCACTTCAGGGAGCGGCTCACCAGCACCTACTGGGGCCAAGCCAGAGTCAGGCAGCAGCGGTGGACATTGCTTTGCTTGCAGCTTGTGGTGACCTTGGAGTGACCGCAGGGACGCGCTGACCTGTCTCTTGCTGCTCTTGGTACTTGCAGGGCTGAACCGATCGCTCCGACCAGCCGAGGATAAAGCCGCAGGGATGGTGGGTCCCCACCTCCGTCCCTCCCCCTGGGCATTGGGAAACCCCCCCGGGGGTGCATGTGGGAAGCCACTAATCTTCCTTGCAGCTGGATAAGGTTTCACAAAATTCTGTGATTAAGTCAAAATGGGAATATGAGGCTAGATTAGGTTATCCATGACAACCAAATGGCCCCTAAATCCTGAAGCGGGGATGTTCACTCAGGTGAAGCAACAGCCAGAGTGTTGGGAATCGTGGTCTGTGGCCGAAGGGGATGGGGAGCACCTTGGTTGGGGGAGGCTCGGGTAGTACTGCTCTTCCCTGGGATCCAAACCCGTTTCTTAAGAGCTCTTAATCATTGGAGCTCATTAGCAGATATATTAATAGCTCTGTCATTTCACCAGAGAAAGGACACAAACTCCTCCGTGCTTTGTGTCAAAATATTGACACAGGCTGAGCGCAGCGAGACGGAGATTAGATAGGGGCGGATAGGAGGGAAGGGCGCTTCTCCTCCGCGATGAAATGGGGACATTTCTAAAAGCTGAAGCTGCTCTGGCAGAAGCAATGGCAGGAAGGGACAGGCAAAGGCTGCCCATGTCCCAGCTGGTCTTTGCTTTTCCTTGTGCTCCCTGCAAGGATCTGTCCAAGCAAAGGCAGATCCACCAGGGTGCAGTGGAGGAGGAAGGGGCACCGGGGGGTTTCCTGAGCTGTCACAGGCTCAAAGCTCTGGTCCAACACCGACAGCTTGGATGGGAACAGCAAAACTCTACTGGGGTCCATCCCCAGTTAGTGGGGAGTGGGGAGACCGCAAACGCCCTCCAGCAAAGGGCAGCGGGGCTGCTCCTGCCTGGTCCTGGCATCATAAATTTCCATTTGCTATAAGGGGTGTGTTTTGCCTTTGTTTTTCTGGAAAGAACAAGCTGGTGCTGAAGGCAAGAGAAAATAACTTCTTGATAACAACAGAATTTTGCTTTTTATCAGATGTCACATATTTGGTCTCGGTATCAGAGGAACTGACCGATGTGTTAGTGCCCGAACAGCCGGATGAGGAGGCACAATCAGGGCAGTTGTGGTGATAAACACACCACAAGCGTGGGTGCAGCGATAGAGGAAAGGGGTGCTTGGAGCAAGGGGCTGGGCATGGCTCCTGGATATATACACCCTGCCCTGGCCGAGGCGGTGCAGGACCTGCCATGGAGACACCAGCACCCAGGACCATGTGGAGGCTGGTGCTGGCCCTGCTCTGCCTCCAGCTCGGGGAGGGGGCGATGAAGTGAGCCCTGGGGCCGGGGGGTGGTGGTGGGGGTGTGAGGGTGCAGGGGCTGGCTGCAGAGCGGGGCTCACCCTCAGTCCGTGGATGGGACCACCCGGCCACTCAGCACCTCTCTGCTGTCTCCATCCCGCACAGGATCCCCCTGAGGAAAGGCAGATCCATGCGGGAGGTGATGAGAGCGAGCGGGGTGCTGGAGGGTGTCCTGAAGGGCCTCAAAGGGGACCCCGGTAGGAAATACCTGCTCAGTGACACTGTGGCTTACGAACCGCTCACAAACTACCTGAATGTGAGTACTAAATCTTCTCCTTCCTCCTTTGAGCCAGACGGCTCTGGTTTTGGGGGACACCCTCCTCCTTTCCTGGCAAGCTCTGCAGCGGGTGGCTCCGCTCCCTCCCCACTCACAAGTCGAGGGGCTGTGCTGGGCACGGGCAGGAGTTTTGCCGCCTTTGTAGCCTGGCTCCGAGGGTGACGTTGGGAGGTGAAGGCAGGAGGCAGCACATCTTATCCTGAATTAATTTCCCTTCTTGGAAAAAGAAGATTTTGATGGTTATAGGGCAGACCTACTACTCCTGGCCTTGCTGCTGACTTTGTTATGTCATTGACAAGTCATTGCCCCTTTCTGTGCTTTAGCTGCCCCAGATGCACCCAAGGACTTGGGAGCCCTTCCTCCAAGCCCTCAGCAGTTCGGGTTTCTCAGCTAGCAGAGGGCAGAGCGCTGAAAACCCTCATTCAAAAAACCAGGCAGAAACAGAAATCCTCCCACGCTCTTGTTCACAGTCCTTCTACTTCGGAGAAATCAGCATCGGGACCCCCCCCCAGAATTTCCTGGTGCTCTTTGACACCGGCTCTTCCAACCTGTGGGTGCCCTCCACCTACTGCCGGACTCCAGCCTGCGGTGAGCACCCCTCGGGGCACAGAGCTGGGGGTCCCCACCCATCGGACACCCCTTCCACGCTGCAGGCTGGGGCTTTGACAGGGAAATCAGGGAGAGCCGATGGGGTTTGGGGTTCGCTTTCTGCTCCCTGACACCGACGGGGCTGGTTTTGGATGGGCCCTTCCCTGTGAAGCCCCTCGCTGGGGATTTCTGTCCGCGTGGGGCCGGGGATGCGCTGAACCGAGGGCAGGATGTGACCTGGGGGCTGTGACTTTCTCTCCGTGCAGAAAATCATGCCATGTTCAACTGCAGCCTCTCGTCTACCTTCTCGGATATCGGTGAGACCTACATCCTGCGCTACGGGTTCGGTGACCTGTCGGTGGTGTTAGGGTCCGACACCGTGACAGTAAGTGACTTCTGCCCCCTTGGTGCGGGGCTGCAATCAGGGTAAGAAATGACTGCGGTTGTCATCGGCCCGATTCAGTTAAAAATTTCGGGGGTAGCTGAAAGTACCTTTTAATTTTGGATATTAGCGCCTGAAACTCTCATGTAGAGTTTATGGTAGGTCAGCATAAATTTACTCGGAGACTGGGATCTGCAAACAAACTCAGCCCGGGTCCTCTGGGCTTTTCCTCAGTGCTTGGAGCTAAGGGATGCCTTTGGCCATAAGTCTTTGCTTTTTACACTAATGGCTGAGCTTTGTCATTACAAGACGTCAGAAATATTCTGTTGTGAGACTTGCATGCAGTGAAAGTGTGGTTTTAAACTAATTTAACTGAGGCAAACCGTTTTTGTGGGTACTTTTATGAAATAATAAG